ACGCACTGTGTGAGCCGTGAGCAAGCGTCTAACGCCAGCACCTGTAGCATACTGTTGGTGTCAACCTGGCAAAAACCTTTCTTGTTCGCTTGCGTGTAGGAACTCCGCAATAGAGTGAGCCGTGGCACTAGCCGTGGCACGACGGCCAGGAATCCGGAACCGACAACAACGGGGCGGCATTGCCGCGTGCGGGCGAGCTCAGGCTAAATTTGATGTTGCACGCTAGAGCAGTGAGAGCGCAGTCGGGCTCGACATCAGTGCAGGGGTCGTGGCCCCATGCGGCCTCGTCACACGGCGCTCAGGGCGACGCGATAGTGGCATCGAGAGCGAGTGCGGACCATTTCGGACCCGGGCTGAGGGAGACCGTTCAGGCGACAATCTCGATGCACCGCGCATCGGCTGCAATCCCGGAACATGAACATTCATGTCGGCAAGCCGGATGGCGACTGGGGAGAACCCCGCAGGTGGCACACGCGGACAGTTGGTCACCGAACGGGACTGGGAGCCGCAACCGTCGTAGCTTCGTCCCGCGCGGAGATACGTTGAAAACGGGCAGCGAAATGCCCAGCCTGGGATAACAGCAGCGCGCGAGACGCGGGCGTGAGGTCAGAAAGGCGCAGCTCGCACGCGTGTTTGTCGCAACCGTGGGCAGCAAGTCGCTGCCACTCTTTGAGCGGCCACCGGTCGCAGGTGGCTTCGGGGGGTTCGGACGGCGTGTGCAGCAGGCAGACAAATTCGGGGCATCAAAGCCGGAGTCACCGAGGTGTTGTCGTGCGAGGACAGAAGCGGTAGCACAAGGCAGGACTTCTTCGCCTCGCGACGCTCGGAGCAAGCTGTCATCAGCGGCTGTCGTGTGGAAGGCTGGCCCCGGGACCATAGCCATACAGAATAACCCACTCAGAAGCCACCCTCGTCCGAACCACGTGCTGTCTCACCCGGATCCCTTTCCTCATCTGGCACATCCAAAGGGGGCCGAGTCAACCCGGAGAGTTCGGCAAGTCATGTGAGCCAACTAGCTTCAGCTGCTGCAAACTCGCATTTCTCTACAGCCATGCTGCCAGAGGCATTGGGCGACGGCCATGACGGCCAAGTCATGGTCGGATGCGTAGTCCGCTGTCAGGTGCGAGGGCAGTATGCGCAACAGGTGCCAGGCGGCGTGCTTGCAAGACATAAAGGTGAAGAATGTGCTGCACAAGCTGGTCGTGCTCGCACGCGCGCGTGCTCCGGAGACACCTGCAGTGCAGATGCGGTTTTTTCAAACGGATCCGTGCCAGGTCCAGCGACGCTGAGATACGTTGAAGGCATCGCACAAGGATGTGCAGGGCACCAGGCGGGGCGCGGAGCCAACGCTGCAAGTCGCAGAGCGTGTCATGCTGCGCACAGCGTCGACTGAGGGGACGGTGGTGCGCAGGCATGCTGTGCGGAGTAAACGGCTGACAGTCTCGGTGCCAGTGCGGGTGCTGGGGCCATGCTGGTGTGCCATGCTTGAAAATAAGTGTTTGGCGAGCATGCTCGCGACCAACAAGCCGCTGGAAAACGCCGCTGACAACAAGTGTTCGGACCCTTCCGTTGGGTTTTCGGAGCGCTATACCGAAACGTACCTCCCGGAGGCCCTCGAGCACGGCGGGGGGGAGTTCCGCACTGTGGCATAATGCGGCATAACTCTAAAAAGGGAAAAACATTTTTCAGGCGCGAGACTTGAAAATGCAGAGCTTCAAGGAAAGATTTCTGATCACGGATCGCTCGCCGGAAAATGCTGGAAATAGTTTGTAAATAGGGAAATGCAGCAACTTGAGTTTGTAAATGGGAATTCCCCAGAACGTCCTTCCATGGCTCGACATGAGGTTTGCAAATGAGAATTTCCCACGCAAAATGCTCCTCCATGGCTCGACATGAGGTTTGTAAATAGGAATTGCACATACAAAATGCTTCTCCACGGCTCGACATGAGGTTTGTAAATAGGATTTGCACACGCCGAATGCTCCTCCAAGCAGCAAGCTGAGTTTATAAAACGGAATTTCCACGCAGCAAACTCAGATGCTAAACAGGCAGGACCCATGCAAAATGCACATGCGCATCCAGAGCCCAAGGCTTGTGCCCCAAATATCATACGCTTCACCATATGCAAAAAGCTCTGCAAGCCGCCGTGCATTTACGGCGCAAAGTAGACCAAAATAGTTTTCTTGGACGTGCGGATTTTGAGCTGCCGCAGTGTCTAGCGCATGGTCTGGCATGGTCATTTTGGTGGAACATAAAACGAAGAGTCCAGGCTCTGTGTTCTCGTCTTGAAGTTGCTGCTCGGCAACACCATTCCGAAGTCCATACTGTCAGCTGTCGTCTTGTATTGTCTCTGTCGTAACGACAGTAAAGTTGATCCAGCAGAAAGCCGAATACTATTGAGGTCATGGACATCATAAGCGGCAAGTCTACACGCGAAAGTCAACCTTGGAAAGCTAGTTTTTCTGTCCTCATGTCAGGCCATGACGATCGTTTTCTGCGGGTATGAGGCCCTGTTTATTTACAAACCTCATTTTGGGCTACGCGGGTGTTTGTTCTGTGGGAAATGCCTATTTACAAACTCACTTTGCTGCTTGGACGAATGTTTTGTGTGGGAAGTTCCTACTTACAAACCTATTCACAAACCTCACTCTAAAGGGAAAAACTTTTTTCAGGCACGAATCAGGCACGAAAGCTTCAAGGAAAGATCTCTGATCACGGATCGCCCGCCGGAAAATGTTTTACACTTTAGAGTGAGGTTTGTAAATAGGTTTGTAAGCAGGTTCGTAAATAGTTTGTAAATAGGGAAATGCAGCCAATTGAGTTTGTAAATGGGAATTTCCCAGAATGTCCTTCCATGGCTCGACAACGTCCCTCCTTGGCTCGACATGAGGTTTGTAAATAGGAATTTCCCACACAAAATGCTCCTCCACGGCTCGACATGAGGTTTGTAAATAGGACTACATAGGAATTTCCCACGCAGAACGTCCGTCCTTGTCTCGGTATGAGGTTTGTAAATGCAAATTTCCCACACAAAATGCTCCTCCATGGCTCGACATGAGTTTTGTAAATCGGAATTTCCCACACAAAATGCTCCTCCACTCCACAGCTCGACATGAGGTTTGTAAATCGGAACTGCACACACAAAATGCTTCTCCACGGCTCGACATGAGGTTTCTAAATAGGATTTGCACACGCCGAATGCTCCTCCAAGCAGCAAACTGAGTGTGTAAAACGGAGTTTCCGCTTCATCATATGCAAAAAGCTCTGCAAACCGCCGTGCATTTTTATGTCGCAAAGTAGACCAAAGCAGTTTTCTTGGACGGTTGATGCCCTAAATCCTGCATGACTTTGAGCATCCCCACGATTCCCCTGATACCCCAAATTTTACGTAACATTTCTCATGCATGGGCTGGAAACAGGCCTTGCGCGAATGCCCAAAATCCTGCATGACCCCATGGAGATGCAACATTGAAATCAAGGGGTTGCGGGGAAGTGGACCTCGTGCCATGAGATATGAGCAATGATGTAAGTCATGCAGGATTTTGGGCATCAACAGTATCATTGTGTGATGTGACTCTACCAGAACACTGTTTGCTGGCTGTCATCTAGCAATAAGTGTAACATGCTGCAAGCCATTCTGCACAAACAGACGCTCGGAAGATCCTGCAAGGTGGATAGTTAGACGTACATAGCAAGGAGCACCTACAGTCCTGCAACGGCAACAACCCTTCTAAAGAAACAATCGTCGTATCAGCTGCAATGGGCAATCTGATCCACGAAAACGATAGAGTGGAAACACCAAACTCATTGGTCGCCCGGGTGAAACATCATCCATCGATTAATGGGATGCGCATAATATGCACCGTGCTGCTCGGGCGTGACATGTGACTTGTCCGAGTGCTGCTTTGAGTCAGGCCATGCCCATGCTTGCCCTAGATGTTGGCAAGAAGAGTCTACAGCATCGCATGCTCGGAATTTCATGCAAATTGCTCGAAGACACAAGCCTTCATGGAGGCTGAAGCTGCCCAAGGCTGGCACAGTAACGATTCTCTCGACGAGGAGCAGCAGGGCGCTCGAGCGACACTTTGCAGGAACTTAGCGCATCACACGCCACTTGGAGTGAGTTCAGTCAGATCGGGCGGTGAGCACACGCACTGCACTGGCGGAGGTTCAAAGTGACATCCAGTGATTGCAAACACGAGGCCTGCTGCCTGACTTCTTCGTGCGGGCTATGAGCGGCTATCTGTGCTATCCTGCGCCATGCTCAGCATGAGCAGCCCATGCAAAGCGTTGACAAGTTGACCCGCAGGGCCGACACTTGATGTTGATTTCCTATGTTTTCCTACCATTTCGTAGCACAGCAGGGCGTGTTTGCAGTACATGCGTGCTGAGATACCTGCGTGCTGAGAACAAGGCAACGGGTCGCCCATGTGTTTTCAGCTGAGCTCTACTTCTCGTGGCCACTTTGGTTCTCAATATTCATTCAAACAACTCAGGCGGCTGCATTCGGCAAGCAAGGCGAACGGTGCCCGAGCCAAGCTTTACTCAAGCATCTGGCTACTGGCGGCGTTGTGGTACAGAGGGCTGTGTGCAGGATTAAATCTTCTGAATGTGGCTCCCTTACGGTGAGCCTGTTGTTGGCTCGCGTGGCTTAGCATCGTGACATTTCCACGGGCTTTGCTCGTGTCTGGGTGTGCCTGCCAGGGAAACCCTGCCTAGTTAAGTCAAGACCTAGCAACAGGACCTCAAATTAATGTGTAACCTCTCTGCTGTTCGGAATTATCATGACCAGATGGATTACCGGCCGGCCCAGGGAACCATTTCAAATGTGAGTTGTTTCGGAAGTTCATCGTACATAGCTGTAACTTGGTTCTGATTGACGGATTAGCGGACTAGTGGTAGCAAAAATTGACTGGATGGTCAGAACTCATACTGTCATGGCATGTTGGGCCAGGCCTCCTTTTTTCTTCTGACACCGCAAACATATCATGTTAACGGATTCACGCGACTGATCTCGGCGGCTTCAAGCGGTCGACAAAGTCCTAGGCATGGAATCGAGAAGCCAAGTTTGCGATTCATTTCGCAGCCGTGCCGGTGCCTTCTTCTCAATACACCCGCGGGCTGTTCTTCCAAACTTCACCAGGAGCTTCTTTAAATCGGATACCTGTCAGGACACGTTCACTCAGATGTTCCAAGCACAGTGCCGCCCACCCCACCCACCACCGTCCCACCACAACCACCCATCAGCACCAGCCCACCTTACCCTCCTCACCCACGCCCAATCCCAATCCCCACCTAGTCTCCTCAAAGGTGACGGCGCCGGTACGGAGCGAAACGCGCGTTTTGTCTAGA